TATATTATTATATTATATTGTTGTAGTATATATATATATATATATATATATATATATATATATTATATATATGCTATATGTATATAAATGATGTGCACACGCCTATAGCGTGCTGAAATGTGTGGCGTGATCGGTATAACTTGACAGGGTGCATACGTGTAAAACTACCTAATGTTAAATCCGTACCTTATAAGGTACACATAATAACATAAAGTGTTTATGAACACTTTAGGTTATTATGTGTCGCATATTTGTTCAATTAAAAACAAGTAAACTGTAAACTGGCACCTGATTGTAATTTTGCCACGGGCCGCCGCACGTAGATGGTCTGTGGTGAATACGTCTCCATTCGCTGGTTAAGCGCCATTAATAACAAGCCTGCCATCGCAACGAGCAAAACGGTCCTGAAACGAGCGCTGTACAGCTCCATCTCCACTGACTCCTGAAACATAACGACGTATGAGAAGAAAGTTTAATAATAAAACATGCGCAGCTTTTGCTTTTCCATAGATACGCTATGACTTTGTCTTCCTTCTCCTCCTGTCCCCCTTTTCCCCATCCTTTTCTTCCGCCTCCTTCCCCTACACCTCGTGATCCTCCATCTTTCTCTTCCGCTTCCTCATTTTCCTCATCTTTCACCGCCCCTCCTTTCCTTCTTCTCGTCTTCCTTTTCATCAACCACTCCTACCTTCCTTCCCATTCTTCCTATTCCTCTTCCTTCTTCTCCCCCTTCTGCTTCTGCTGCCGCTCTTCCGTTTTTCCCTTCTTCTTTTATTGGGTGAATATCAGGTTGATCATGGAATCTATTCCAACAATACAAGTGCATAACATTGAGCTGAGGGATCACACACGCGCCTGCACGCATATGCCGTAATAATATATTTGCTGTTTCCCATGCAACAACGACACTAGCGCATGATACGCACGCGAGCGCTCTCACATGTGCTCCTTTAGTAATATCTTAGCATTGTGTCGCATTATTTTTCAATATAGGCAAGTCAAGTTCAGATACACATGCGCGGACAATCGCTTAAATGATTCTACGAATAGTCCTCTCATATATAAACGTATAGCGTATAGACACGTGAACACAGTGACAGCAGAGCTAGTGTAATAAGTCCACATATACTCACACCTTTACATTATAGCTCAGCTAATATGTTGTTGTCGCTGGTATTGGCTCGTCCGTCGACTTGCTGCGCAATTTTTAAATTCAAACTATATAAGCAATTAAGACCGCGGCAAACCGCGTCAGCTGAGAGGAGAAGAACTATAACAAGCTCGCATCTGACGGCAGTATTTCTATACTGTTCCTCGTGGTGTTGCTCTGCGACGGAGCCGGCTTAGATATATGTCTGTGATACGAAGCGACAGCTAGTCTACATAAGATAGTGCACTAGTCAATGGTCTAGTCACGCCCTCGTGCATATTCTGGTTTCAAATCATTACTGAATACAGGATTACAGGAATACAGCAATACAGGAATTGCGCTCTGGAGCTGCGGTGACCGTGATCAGTGACGGATGGTGAGAGAGAGCGTGACCTGAGTCCTCTCATGCGAGATACGTGGCGACAGCATGCGTCTATGTAGTGCACATGATGCCGACGTCTATGTAGTGCACATGATGCCGACGTCTATGTAGTGCACATGATGCCGACGTCTATGTAGTGCACATGATGCCGACGTCTATGTAGTGCATAGTGAAGACGACGTCTATGTAGTGCACATGATGCCGACGTCTATGTAGTGCACATTCGACATGAATAGCACTGGTACTCGCATTCTCCCTCTGCGGCTTTTTTTTTTAAGTTTTTTAACAAACGATGGGAAATCAATAATGTATATTGGGTAAATCAATATGTGGGTATCAATATTCAAATATCACAGGTATTCAATATGGGCGGACCATATGACGCCAAACAATATGCTCCAGTTCGGTAGCACTGAAAGGAATTAATTTGTAACTATTAATATTGAAGTAGTACAGCAAATCTTAGACTAATATTAATTTTCCTTGGAAAATTGAAGTAATTAATTTCGCAATTGTAAAATCTGGGCAGCGTAACTTATATACTAGTACTACCCTACTTCCAAGTTCTGAGTACTAGCAACTAATTATCATATTTGATTAGTGGATTTACTCATGCTCGTTGAGTTAGAATTAAATTTTGTGATTAAGCTTAATCATGAATTAAAGTAACATTACGCTTCGTGAAAGCAGTCACTCAAATTAAGTAGCGGGAAGTTAATCATGGATTAGTGTTTAATATCAGGGATTCAATAGCTTTAAAGTAATTTGATATAAATATATTGTTAATTTGGATATGTTAATTTAATTATTATAATATGATAAATATAAATAATTTTTTAATGTATCATATTTAAAATTATTTGAATATGTGTATATATTTATGATATTTATTGATTGATTTGTTTATTGATTATGAATATTTATATAATTTTTTGAAGTATTGTATATGTGGTGGTGAGTATATCATA